TGCGCAAAGGCTGAGTTACAGTGTTCCACATACCTTAGGATGGGTTGGTAGCTTTAAACTTAGGTCTAGTATTCTGTGTGGCCCGCAAGGCAGTTGCGCGTGGGCTCACACAATTGCGTCTAACATTAATACACTCACTTCTACATTTGCACACACAAGCACACATCACTTCTACCTCTGCCCTTCTTATATTCTTTAGGTTATGAGCCCAAACAGCGAAGACTTCACTAAGCCTGCCCGTTTTGACGGCACCAGCTACCGTTTATGGGCATACAAGATGCAGATGTACCTCTTGTCACGAGGATTATGAGGTTTCGTCGATGGCATGCACGCTGCCATCGACGACGTTAATCAGCAACAAGCGCATGCGGCGATTGTGCTCAACCTGGCCGACAAACAGCTTCAGCACGTAATCAGCGCCGGCAGCGCAGCTGAAGTGTGGATGATGCTACGACGCATTCATGAAGGCCAAGATGTGGCGAATCGCCTGTGGCTCAGAGAAAAATATGCCACGTTTACTTATGGTGGTGACTCGATGGAGGTGCACGTCGGTAACCTCGAGGCCTTGCTGATACACCTGGACAGCGCGGGGTGCGCTGTCGCCCAAGAACATTTTTGTGCTGCATTGCTGCGCAGTCTACCAAGTTCGTACGACGGTCTTATGGAGGCGTACCGTATGTCGGCGGACAAGTTCATTTTTCCAGACATCGTTAATCGAGTGTTCGCGGAGGAAGCGCGTCAACACGAGCTGGGCATCAAGGAGGAGCGCACTGCGATACTGGCCGGCCTTGCCAAGAAAAAAAACAAAGTAAAGAAAAAAGGCGTGTGCTGGAGATGTGGTAGTGTCGGACACTACCAGCGCAATTGTCGAAAAGGCTTCAAACAAAAGACGAGTCCCATATTGCGTTCTGTGCGCTGGTTAGTGAGAGCGGCTTTGATGGGACTTGAACCCAAGCAACTTGCGCTGACACGGGATCCACAACCCACTGCGCCAACATGGCAACAAACAATTCCAGCCCAAACGTTACAGTTACAAATTGGGTTTTGGATAGCGGAGCATCCACCCATATGTGCGGTGCACGCGATATGTTTGTCGACTTTGAACATCGTAGTGCGCCAATGTACATAACGGTCGCCAAAGCCGGGATCAAGATGGTCGTTGTTAGAAGAGGTACAGTTGCACTCAATATGCGTGTAGGTAAGCGCGTGTTCGCCGCCCGACTTGAGAACACGTTACATGTTCCAGAGCTCACACGGAGCTTTGTTTTCGGCGTCATCAGCAATGGCAAAGGGAATGTCAAACGTGGTAAGCTGATCACACTTGATATTGAAGATGCCCCAGAGTGTCATCTGGCC